TACTCATATCATTGTGGGAAAATTCTGCTACCAGTCCTTCATCACCTTAAACGAAATAGGATGAATACATTTCATATAACTGATTTACTGGTGGCATCGAAATTCTAATTATGTACAAAAAAAAGCAATTAAGCGAAAGGCGTAACAGTCCACTAACACAGGGTAGCTTGTTTATACTAGCCCCTAAGCTTTAGAATCAGACCATCATTTCAAATATGTGCACAAAAACAACAAACAGGTATAAAAGGTAAAGAAATGTCATAAAATATATTTACTGTTTTCCACGCGGGTAATGACGCACAAATTCCCCAATGTCGTGCGCGGCTACTGAGAGGATAAGTGGACTGGCTGAATCCATTTCTAGAAGCCGAATAAGCATTCTGAACGTAATATTTACGCACATGTGAGTGAATGTAGCGTAGATTCGAGTGTAAGGAGGAAAAGGGCAAGCATGATTGAAGTAAGGAGCAATCAAGTTTATTTAACTGCAAATTATATATCAAGTTTTATTAATACAAAGTGGAATATAGCTTAGTCAGAGGTATGAAGACCAGGAAGGTAGGACCTTTTCTGTGGTTGCCGTCTCTATCATTGTATAGAAGTTGCTTTGTCTTTGTTTTCGCAACATGGTCATATTGACAGGAACGCACCTCGTCCGGAGTCCAGAGTATGCATGGTGATTTCAAAGTTGACCATGGATGTTTTACATTTCCAGAAGTTTTGCCGGCATCGTCAGTGAGTATTGCCATACTTAGCACCATACAACAACACGTGAAAGAGACAAGTTAAGCAGATTCTTTGACAAATTATCTCCTAAAGTTATATATCTCCTATCTTATATCGTATCGTATCACCCTTTCAATATCACAATTTCTTACTTGTTTATCTAGACCTATTTGAACTCAATTAACACTTCCCGCTGGTTATTATTACTAATTAAGCTCTATCGACTTTAATTCTTAAAAACAAATTCAAAAGCATTCATAGCAGTTGTTTGACCCTGGTTTTGCAACTTGGATATATTTAAAATATAAATGTACATTTAAGGGCCTCCCAAAAGTAAAATGGCAACAACAAACTCCATAACGGATTGACTTTAAGGGTAGGTCCGATAAGAATTATGCCAACCACGAAAATATTTCAACGTACAAACAGATTAACTTGCCATCTAGCAAGACTCACTTAAGCAATTCATAATTGTTATCTGTAAACGTGACAGCATTTGCCCGCCAAAACTTCTCCGATTTGTGAACTGGTGACCACTCAAGCCGTCCAGAGCGCAACTCAGCTGTATACTCCTCCAGACTGCTGACATCAGCAACGCTATTGGAAAGCTTCTCCTAATTCGGCAGAAAGGATCGATAAGAGTAGTGAACATCATTGGGAAAAATGTAGTAGTACTAATTTTATTAGGGACTACTAAGTACAAGGACCACGATAAAACTAGAAAAAAAGAATGATAAACTGTAGAAATGGAAATTTTCAGATAATATATTCTTGACACTTCAATTAGAGTATTTTGTGAGGGCTAAATATACAGGAAGAAAAAAAATTCCCCAAATTCGTTTAGCTTATAGTCTTCGCCTAGGTAATTTAAGGACCGGAGCAATTGCTAACGATGAAAAAAAAACAAAATAATAACAACAGAAAATACTATAAAAACTTCGTTAGTTGTTCGTGCCCAAAATAAGGATACTTTAAAAATGGTTCCCTGAAATCATAAAAGTAAGTGGCGAAATCGTTTAGCAGCAATCAAAATGGCTAAGACATAATTAAAAAGTAAAGTTAATGTATTTATTATTAATAAAATAGACTTCAAAGGATAGCAAAAAGTTTCATAAAAATATAAATTTTTATGTACTTAAACATGAAAATGTTTTGAAGGAACTAAGTATATAAGAATAAAGAAGAATGGTACAATGCATTTGAGCCCTTAGAGCAAGGATCACAAGTGACCAACCTCAAGATAAGCCATATCGTCGCTGATTTCAGGATCATGAGAGAAATCTTTTTGATTAAGTAGCTTGAGCTGCTTGAGAACTTTGCATTGAACCATAGCTAATGCGCAGTCTCGATAGTAAGGAGGAGGAAGTTTTTCTAGGATAAACTAGAAGTGGATTTAAAAAAATTTAAGATTGTTCATAAATGTAAGCGTCAACATTAAATTCTGATTTTAATATCAATTATTTATAATTAAATTAGTGCTATAAGCCACGTTAACTCACACGGAATAATGCAAGACTGATGCGAATAATTTTTTCACGCTCGGCTTCTCGAAAGATATCGGAGACAATAGGAATAAGTTGTGAATTTTTGGACATTGTCATAACATGCACTGCATCAAAACTAAGGCACCAGAGGCAAAATATAAGCTGGTACTGCAGTTGTTTGCTAATATTCTTGCTGACCAAGACCTCGACTATGCTAATTAATTTTTAAAATTTGCAAAGTGAATTAAAAATATGCTGTCACAATTATGAAATTGCGAGCCTCTAAAAATATCCTTACGTATTTATTCCGTTTTCCGCTACGAATGTTTGACGGTATTCTCGAACTCTAAGCACCATTTGCAGGTTTCTAGCAGCTGTCTCTAGGAAGTCATTGCGCTGTTAAAAGTTGTAACCATTAGTGAAACCGAAGAATACAATATATTTAAAGTCAAAAACTTATTACTGGCTTTCTTAATTGACCGCATAGCCAGTTTACGTAAAAGGTAAGGTCATCTAGTTCCATTAATCTGGAAGACCAGCATGCAAGTTTAGAAATAATATGAGAGGCCTATTATTAGCATAGAATGTACTATTACTAGGTATACACATAGTTGGTTGCTAATCTGAAGAAATCCAAAAAAATGAGGCCATATTGGCTCATTTATGTGAATAAAGTACTCCCTGAATATATCGACACGAGTCTTATCCTCCTAAACAGGATTATTAAGTAATGATCACACCTGCAAGATGTAATCCAACACCACCAACAAGTATTGAAGTGTTTGCTCCTTTGAAATCTTGTTCAAAA